CTGTCTAGATTTGCCATAGCTTTCCTCCCCAGGAGCAAGCGTCTTTTAATTTCTTGGCTGGAGTCCCCATCTGCGGTGACCTTGGAGCTCAGGAAAATAAAACCTGTCACTACCTACTTCTGGTTAAGAAAGTGAATTAACTATTCTTGCATGCGGTATCTTCACACTTGCGCAGAGGTTCATCCAATCTTTTTTCCGCATTCTGCGACATTCTGTTTTGTTTTGTTTTTAAAGAGCCCTCTCAATATGACCTTCTAAATCTGTATAGATGCAACGTGAGACATCACCTTGTTAATAGTAAACAGTTCAGCCGAATGCTCCCACGATGCACTTCCCTGACACAAAGGGACCTTCTGAATCTTTGGAGCTCCGTTGGAGCTGCCATGCCGCATCACAGCAAACAGAACTCGGAGGCAAGAAGATTCCTCAAAGAATAGTTTTATTTGGTATATCATATTGGCACAGGCTGGTGAAAACCAACTCTGGATGTTACGGCAGTTTTCACCTAATTGAAAGTTTTTTCCCTTCCCCAAACAGTCAGTCACATGGTGCAATCATGGTACTGCCCTGTTGCTTGGTAATTTCACTCCACCTGTGGGAATGTCCTTGGTTCCCAGGAGAAAGTATTTTGCTTTGTCTACAAAACCCCAGCTATCTCTATTTTCCCTCTCTCTATCCTCAGCACCATTGAAGCCGCAAAAAGGCCTCGGTCAGGCCAGCTTCAGGGTTGACATCTACATTTGGCTGGCTCAGGAATGCTGGGAGTTGAAGTTCACAGGTCATAACATTGCCATAGTTGCCCGTCCTGCATTAGAAGCATCTGTGGAGGGAGTGGGGTCCAAGGAAATCAAGATGGCAATCACCCATGTTATATTTGTGCTGATAAATAAATAAAGGGAGACTAGTATAGATCTATTTCAAGCTATTTAGCTCTCATCAGCTAGCTATTCCCTTACTGGGATTCGAGCCTGTGCTATATTACATCTTAGGCAGAAGTCTTAGCCATTAAGCCACAGGCTCTCCTCCGTTATCAGCTGAAGCCAAGGAGGAAGGTATATATTTAGTGTCACAACCCCCGGTATGCCCAAATATGGGAGGAAGATCACTACTTCCATTCTCTGTCCTTCGGCTCGTCACAATAGATACCTTTCACCCTGGCTTCGCGGATAACGGAAAAGAACCTGTGGCCTAATGGCCAAGATGTCTGCCTAGTATGTAATATAGCCCAGGTTCAAATCTCAGTCAGGGTATAGCTAGCTGATGAGAGCTAAATA